CTAACCCTAACCCTAAATTTTATTAAAAGAAATTATACATAGGTGCTAAAACACCATAGGTGCGTTTTATAATAATTCTTAAAAAATAATTATGTATTATATGTAAAAAATATAAAATTTAAATAAATAAATAAAAATAAAATCTAATTATACTATATTACATAAAATAGTTATATATCTAATTATATTATATTAAAAAAATAATATTTAAAGCATTTATTTATATATACATATAAATATTTAATTACATCATATTAAACAAAATTAATTGTATACCGGTAATTATTTATATCTTTTATTGAGATCTATTACAAACCTTTTTGTACCGTACCTAAAAGTATATACATAACCTTGGGTACGGTACACTTTTTTTTTTATATTACCTATTTTTTTCATAAATATTAGATTTGGGTACGGTAAACTTTTTCATTAAGTATATATTTTTTTTTGCGTACCTAACACCAAAAAAAAAAAACTTGGTACGATAATTATTATTTTTTTTGTGTACCCTGCTTGAAAAAATTTATCTGGGTACGTTCACTTTTCTGTACCGTACCTTACCAGATAGTTTTAACTGTACCGTACCGGAAAGGTATATACTCAAAATTTTAATATAAATTATGCTTTCACAAACCTAAAACCCTAACCTAACCTAACTTTAATTTAATTTTTATAATATAAATCGAATCTATTAAGCGGATTCTAACATACTCAAGTTGAAATGAAACTTTAAATTCAGGATTAAAAATTTAGACCCTAAAATTAATTCTTAATCTATTTGGTAGATAAAAATCAATATTTCTTGCTAAAGTCTTATGATTTCTCCGATACAAACATATTAATTTTTAATGTCTCAAAAAATAATTTTTTTTTTATAAAGTTGATACCTTCAGGTACTTTTACTTATAAAGCGTTCCAAAAAAATCTCGTTATCTAAGTTTACGTATTAATAAATAGTAAAGCTAATTATATTGTTGGATGGTAGCCGCTTTTAAACAGCAATATTAAATAAGTACTTAAATTTAATATTATTAAGTACTTTAATTTTAAATTTTATATTTATAATGACTTTTACTAAAACGCACCTATGGTGTTTTTACATCTAAGTATACATTATCTCAAAAGCTAGCTAATTATTTAGTGCAAGATGTTCTAAGTAAAAATGCTCTACGCTTCTAAAAACCCATCCCAAACTCTAACCATAACCCTAAATACTAGAATTAACATAAAAATTGTGTTGAAATTTTTAGATTCAAAACTTAGAAAATCTAAAAAAAAACATAATAAACCATATAATAGGTGTAAAACCACTATAGGTGCGTTTATAATAAACGTTTATAATATATTTAATTTTTAAATATTTTTAAGTACTTTAAATAAATACTTATAATTACTTCCCAACATACCTTAGGCCCAATAAGCATTTACTAAGTATTTAGCAATACTTGACAAGTATTTTTTAAATGGTTTGAAAAACTTTGTGATGAAGCACTTTTCCTTTCGCCTATTTTGTAAACACATTGCGACTTTTGATAAAATATAAAAATTTTAGTCACGCCCAATTTATTTGGTACCTATTTTTCTAAAACCTTATGAACTTTGCACTGAAGTGTCATATGTCATTATATATTCAGGGTATTTAAGTGGACAAAGACACCAATTCTATATTGGCCATATTAAGTGGAAATCAAATTCTTTTGTTTAGAATTCAGTCGCAATGTACCTTCGCACAGGATGACAATATTCATATCTAAATCACAGCAGTGATGAATTTATAAAATTTACATTTCATGAATCAGTGCGAGATCTTATATTGCTAAGTTTACCTCGCTCTATTTCGCAAAAGGTGCATCTCTAGTTGCAATGTATATAAACTGATTTAAAATCCGTGAAAATTTTATTTCGACTTACTCTACAATATAAACTTCCAATATTATTACATGCAATGCATTATTTTATTTAAAATTAAAAATATATTTACAAATATATAATAGAATTTTTATAGTATGAATTGGGTGTGCAATATGACCTTCGAGCAATTCTAATAATTTCAGAGATAATTAAAATACTACCTTTCTGTTAAAATATGATCTATTGGTTGAACTAACAAATTTTTAACAAAGCTTTAGATGGTTTAGAATATGTATCAGAGTTTTTTATTAAATTCTGAAAATCAAAACTTAAGCAACATACATACTAAATAATAGAGATTAGATTCATTAAAACTTATTGTACTACAATTATTTTAACAAACATAAAAGTTCAATTCGTTAATAAAATTCTTAATTCTATATTTAATATTTAATATTTATCTATTTATGATTTTCGAGAGTTGCACAAATGACTTTATATCCTTATACGACAGAAATAACTTAAAGATTATAAACAAGTTATCGTTATATATAGAGTTACTATAATATTTACATCTACCTACATAAAATATTTTTTTAAAAAAAGCAATGCTCACAATGCCCACGTGAATTATATTATGTACCTTTAAATCTATAAGAAACATATTGACAGTAAAATTCTTTTTTCATAGTACGAACTAAATGCGTAAATATTTTATCAAGATTGTTATTTACATAATGCAATCAATTAAGATTGAGGTTGATATTAAATATTGTTCGCATGTAATTTTGTAAAGATCACATCATTGCAATTGAACTTACCACTTATCTAAAGGTTCATAAAACTCATAACAAATGTCAAAGTACCTGCGTTTCTAGTCTTCAGAATATTAAAACTCCAAGAGTGTCTTCTATTACATTCCACTCACTCTAAATGTTACTAAATCAATTTTGGTTTTTGTTTGTATCAATTAATCAAACATTTTAAGCACTAAATATTTGCTTACCACTTCGTCAGACATTTATTTACCACAATTTCAGTGTCCTGCTTTCAATAATTTTATGCCGGCTCCGTTCAACAACAATTTGTCGTTCAAATTCTTTAATTTCGGCTTTCAATATATCTCGTGCCCTTCTGGCGCCGCTTTTCATCAGATCATTTGACTCCGTTCTCATCCTTCTAATTTCCTCTTCCATTCTCAAAATCTGCTCCCTTATATTATTAATAACCTCTAAGTATTCCTCTATTATTTTCTTATTCACTTGATCTTCTTTACACCTTTCAAACCACATTAATACTTGCAACCTAGGAATTGTTTTATTTGCCTCTTTTTCAAACATTGATTTTTCTTGTGTTAATTTTATAGCTTGCCCTCTTAATAATTCGGCTTTGTAGTGGATTTGTCTTGGAATATCGGCAATCAATAAAAGTTTTTTACATTTTTGGTCTTCTAAAGATGCAATTCGTTTGTCTAAACATTTTAATGTGACATATTTATTAAGGTAGAAAAGTGCTGGAAAGGCAACAGCTACAAGGGCACTAGCACTAAAAGCAAGGGTCGTGATTTCACGAATATTAAATGACATAATTTTTAGACGATTAATAAATATAATACCTAAATTATCTAAATTTATGTTAAATCCGATCAAAAAATGTTCATCAAAATAAATTTGTCAATGATAATATTTATAAGAGAACATAATTTTTTTTACTTTCAGATAATAAGAAATTCGTATCTAACTAAAACATCATCATTTTTGTTCTTTTCAGTCCGGACGGTTTTATTCACCTTTACAAAGAAGAAGTGAAGAATGTCAAGAGCATCATAACTCTTTAACTTCATTCAACCTAAACCTCCATTAAGTTACACAACGACCTTACTTTTAACTGTCACGTATTACGTTGTACAATGGGAACAATATTTAAACAATTACGATTAACCATATTTACATAACGGTTGAGGTCTCATGCATATTTGTTCATGTCACTGTGCATAAATCTAATGGCTTTGGAAACATATTGATCATTATTAGTTACGATAAGGGTTTTTAAACATGATGCTTTTAAAGAATCTTATCAGCTGATTTTGACTGTACTAATCATTCTTCCATGTTAGTGTCAAATATATATATGATGTTTCACTGATATATGCACTATGATTAATTACTTAATATAAATACCAGCCTATTACACGTGCTTCGCACGTTCGCCAATGAAAATGCTCGAAATATATGGACACAAAAAATAAATAAATAAATATGTAAAATAAAATAAATAATACATTACAGTTTTATTACTATATATATATAAGAAAAGTATACAATTCTTTTTAGCATTTACAGGCGCTCTCTATACCGAACTGAGTATTCGTTACTTATAGAGTGAGTTATACTCCCTTTATACGAGATTCGGTGTAACAAGCTGACCAATATTACACACGTGATTAAGAATGGCATTTCTATATTCGATACTACTACTATATATTGAAGAGACCGTTAAATATTTACAATCGATTGATTCAAAATTTTAGTTTTATATTAGAACCGGGTGATTGCATGGCAGGATAGTAAATATTCCTGTTCGACGGCTAAATTAATTCTAAAAGAAGTGCAAAAGTGCCCGTCTCGTGATCTTATCTGTTATGGTAGTTCATCAGCCAATTTTCGAGTCAAATCTAAAGATCATTATGTGAGGCAAAGCTTAAAAAAAAAATCCAACGATTGAATTTTTAAGAAACTGGTTATTGTGTTGTTTATATAGAACTCTGTTAATGCTAGTAATATAGTGTGATGTTTGCAAAAATTTTTAACCAGTGTTTTTTATCTTCACAGTCAGGTAATATTAGAGATGTTAAAATGCTTATATAAAACCTGCTCAAGCAGATTTAAAGCACAAACTTTTACAGTTTGCTTATAAATTTTTTAAGTACTGCTTAAAAGCAAATACAGTATGCTTTTAATGCTTTAAACCTGCTTAAAGCAAATATGCTCAAAAGCAGATATGCTTTAAATTAGCTTAAAGCAAATAACTC